AAGCTAACACCTCAATTAAAGATTTTCCTTTGTAAGTGTTGCCATAGGCATGGTGTCCCTTCATAACAATAGAAACCCTAACTAAGGCAAATGAAAAGAGAAAGCTGCTCCTTTATTTTCTGGACATTATAGAAATGGTGTCCATTTCAAGTACGTATGCATAAACCTTTAGTGTTTTTAATTAAATAGAAAATGGAAGTTGGACTGCTTTGGCAAAATTGATCTTAAAATGAGCCCTTGATGTCCAGGAGAGAAAGAGGGTCCTTTAATTCCAACTTTATGTAATCCTTGAGAGACCAATAAGACAGCAGATAAATTTTCAGTGGACTAACATGCAAACATTTATATGGTCATGTGCTTTTTATAGTTTGTTTTAAATTGAGCTATACATTATTCCCATTCCTCTTTCTTCCTTCCCTTGCCACTTCTACCCTCTTTCTTCAGCCCCCCATGTTCCCAGTTTACTCAAGAGATCCCCATATTTTTCTCCTTTCTAGGCAGATCCATGTATTTCCCTCTTAGGGACTTTTTGTTCTGTAAGTTCTCTGGGGTTGTGGATTATAGGCTGGTTATTCTTTGTTTTATGACTGAAAGTCACTTATGGGTAAGTACATATTGTATTTATTATGTGTCTAGATTACCTCACTCAGTATTTTTTTCTAGTTCCATCCATTTGCCTGCAAATTTCAATATTTAATTTTTATACAACTGAGTAGTACTTTATTGTGTGCATGTATCACTTTTTCTCTATCTATTTCCAGGTTCTGGCTATTGTGAATTATGCTGTTATGAACATTGTTGAGCAAATACCCATGGGGTATGATTGAGTACCCTTTAGGTATATGCGTAAGAATGGTGTTGTTGTGTCTTGAAATATCAATTTCTAATTTTCTGAGAAATCACCATACTGATTTTCAAAGTGGTTATACATGTTTCACTACCACCATCAATGGGGGAGTGTTCCCCTTACTCCACATCCTCTCTGGCCTAGGTTGTCAGCAGTGTATTTGATCTTAGTTATTCTGACAGGTGTAAGATGGTATCTCAGAATTGATTTGATTTATATTTCTCTGATGGCTAAAGATGTGGAACATTTCCTTAAGAGTCTTTCAACCAATGGAGGCTTTTGATCATGTATTTAAAAATACAAATGTTATCCTCAAATTTGATGAATTTTTTCTCTTTTATTCATGGCTACAATTCAATATTGTAAGATAAGCTAATCAAGGCCTAGTAAGATAAGTCGCATACCACATGTGACCTATTATTGAAATCTATGAAAAGACAGCATAGTGAGGAACTGGGAGATTTGGTGAAGTAAGTTAACCCTTCAATAGTCAATAAGTATTGTTAATGGGGATTCAGAAACAATGAACATAAAAGGAAAATATTTGGGGTGCTGGTAATCAAAGGGAACTTAAGGACAATAGAAACAAACATCCACATATGCATGATTACAGTAAATCAACATCTGTGCTTCTGTGCCAACAGTGAATAAATGGGACCTCCTGAAACTGAGAAACTTCTGTAAAGCAAAGGACATTGTCATTAGGACAAAAAGGCATCCTACTGAATGGGAGTAGATCTTTACCAACCCCGCATCAGACAAAGGTCTGATCTCCAAAATATACAAAGAACTCAAGAAAGTGGACATGAAAATTCTAATTAACCCAATTAAAAAATGGGGTACTGAACTGAAAAGAGAATTCTCATCAGACAAAGTTCAAATGGTCAAAAGACAGTTAAGGTCATGTTCAACCTCCTTAGTCATCAGGGACATGTAAATCAAAACAACTTTGAGATACCCTCTTACACCTGTCAGAATGGCTAAAATCAAAACCACCAATGACACCCTATGCTGGAAAGGATGTGTAGTAACGGGAAAAATCATTCATTGCTGGTGGGAATGCAAACTTGTACAACCACTTTGGAAATCATTGTGGCAGTTTCTCAGGAAAATGGGAATCAGTCTACCTCAGGATCCAGGAATACCACTCTTGGGGATATACCCAAGAGGTGCCCAACCATACTACAAAATCATTTGTTCAGCTATGTTCATAGCAGCATTATTTGTAATATCCATAACCTGGAAACAAGCTAGATGCCCCTCAATGGAAGAATGGATAAAGAAAGTATGGAATATATACACATTAAAGTACTACTTGATGGTAAAAAATAATGACATTTTGAATTTCGCATGCAAATGGATGGAAATAGAAAACACTATCCTGAGTGAGATAACCCAGACCCAAAAAGATAAATATGGTATGTACTCACTCTTTAGTTGACTCTAGCCATTAACAAAGGAAATTATTAAGCCTATAGTTCGTAAGCCTAGAGAAGCCAAATAACAAAGTGAACCTAAAGAAAAACATATATAGATCCTCCTGGAAATTGGAAGCAAACTAGTTTGCTGGGCAAAAGTTGTGAGCATGAAGGTGGGGGCAGGGGTGGTGGTGAGGTTGTGGGAAGGGGAGAGGGGGAGAGAGAAGGGAGAAGGGAAGGACTGGCAAGAGCTTGGGGGAGTGGGAGGGTGGATATGGAGGAAGGACAGATATAGGAGCAGGGAAGAAGATATCTACATTAAGGGAGCCATTTTTAGGGTTGGCAAGAGACTTGGCTCTAGAGAGGATTCCAGGTGTTCACGGGGTTGTCCCCAGCTAGGTCCTTGAGCAGCAGAGGAGATTGTGCCTGAACTGGCCTTGCCTCATTACCACACTGATGATTATCTCGAATATCACCATAGAATCTTTGTCCTGGGATAGATGGAGATTGAGACAGAGACCATCATCAGAGCAATAGACCTTGCCCCCAAGGTCCAGTTGAAGAGCAGAAGGAGGGAGAAGATGAGCAAGGAAATCTGGATCTCTAGGGGTTAGTCTACCCACTGAGACAGTGTGCCTGATCTAATGGGAGCTCACCAAATCCAGCTGGACTGGGTCTGAATGAGCATGCAATCAAACCGGACTCTGAATGTGGCTGAAAATGGAGGCTGACTGAGAAGCCATTGATAAAGGCACTGGGACTTGTTTCTACAGCATGTGCTGGCTTTTTGGGACCCTAGTCTATTTGGATGCAAAGCTTCCTAGGCCTGGATATAGGGGGAGGGCCTTGGACTTTGACTTCCCATAGTGCAGGGTTCCATGCCCTCTCTTAAGGAGGAAGGAGGAGAGAGGAGGGTGATTGGAGAAGCGGGAGGGGAATGGGAGGAGGGGAGGAAGTATAAATTTTTTAATGGAAAAAAATGAATAAAGAAAAGAAAAGAAAATGCTTTCTCCCATTGTTTACTTTTAGCTCCTTTGTCCAAAATCAGGTGTTCATAGGTTTGTGGGTTAAAATCTGGGGCTTATATTCAATTCCATTGGTCAACATCTCTGTTTTTGTGTTAGTACCATGCTGTTTTCATTACTGTAGCTCTGTAATAGAGTTTGAAGTCAGGAATGGTAATGCCTCTGGAGATACCTTTATTGTATAGGACTGTTTTGGCTGTCCTGGGTTTTTTATTTTTCCATATAAAGTTGATTATTGTTCTTTCAAGGTCTGTGAAGAATTTTGTTTGATTTTTGATGGGGATTGCATTGAATCTATGGATTGCTTTGGGTAAAATTGCCATTTTTACTATATTGATCCTCCCAATCCAAGAGCAAGGAAGATCCTTCCATTTTCTGGTATCATCTTCAATTTCTTATTTCAAAGATTTAAAGTTCTTGTCAAATAGATCTTTCACTTCCTTGGTTCAACTATGTTCACAACAGCATTATTTGTAATAGCCAGAACCTGGAAACAACCTAGATGCCCCTCAATGGAAGAATGGATAAAGTGTGGAATATGTATGCATTAGAGTATTACTCAGCTGTAAAAAAACAATGACATGTTGAATTTTGCATGCAAATTGAAAGAAATAGAAAACACTATCCTGAGTGAGGTGACCCAGACCCAAAAAGATGAATATGGTATGTACTCACTCATAAGTGAATTTTAGCCATAAATAAAGGACATTGAGCCTATAATCCGTGATCCTAGAGAAGCTAAATAAGAAGGTGAACCCAAAGAAAAACATATAGTTATCCTCCTGGATATTGGAAGGAGACATGATTGTCAGGCAAAAATTGGAAACTTGGGGGTGGGGGTGGGGAGGAGGTAAGGGGAGATGGGGAGAAAAAAGTGAGAGGGGGTATGGGGAGAGCTTGGGGGAATGGGACAGTTGGGATGGAGAAAGGGTGGATATGGGAGCACGGAAGTATATATCTTAATTAAGGGAGCCATTTTATGGTTAGCAAGAGACTCTAGAGGTGTACCCAAGTGTCCATGAAGATGTCCTCAGCTAGATCCTTGGGCAGCTGAGGGGAGGGAGCCTGGAATCGCCCTATACTATAGTCATACTGATGAATATCTTGAACATCAACATAGAACCTTCATCTGGCGATGGATGAAGCTAGAGACAGAAACCCACATTGGAGCACTGGACTCAGGTCCCAAGGTCCAAATGAGGAGCAGAAGAAGGGAGGACACAAGCAATGAAGTTAGGACCACAGGGGGTGCGCCCACCCACTGAGGCAGTGGGGCTAATCTAATGGGAGCTCACCAAAGCAAGCTGGACTGGGACTGATGGAATATGTGATCAAACCGGACTCTCTGAATGTGTAGGAGAAGGAGGGCGAACTGAGAAGCCAAGTACAATGGCACTGGGTTTTGATCCTACTGCATATACTGGCTTTGTGGGAGCCTAGTCTGTTTGGATGCTCACCTTCCTAGACCTCGATGGAGGGGAGAGGACCTTGGACTTCCCTCAGGACAGGGAACCCTGACTGCTCTTTTGACTGGAGGGGGAGGGGGAGGAGTGGGGGAGGGGGAGGGAATTGGGAGGAGGGGAGGAGGTGGAAATTTTTAAGTAAAAATAAATAAAAAAAGAAAAGAATATATCAGGTTTATTTTTTTCAGGAAATTGCAGGATATAAAATATATGAAGGAATATATAGGGTCATAGAGACAAAAAATACTGCAGTTTTCTCATTTGATTTATTTACATTAATTTTTCCAGAGTTATGAAAATAAATAAAATAGGAATTACACAGAATATTAATGGTTACAATTCTTGAGATATTTCCATATTTGCTTTAACTTTCTTTCTCTCGTATGGAAGTATAATATATTCCTACTACTTATTTTCATTAAAAATAAATTAACTTTAGTTATTACTTCAAAATGTTAGTGAGTATATATAGTTATAATAGCATTGCTGCTAAAACTATCAGTATAGTGATGAACCTTTTAAACTGGGTGTCTGATAATGCTGATAGCTCAGGATACATGGCGTGTAAACAGATAATTGGGCTCAAAGATCAAACTACGTTTTACCAGTACTGTGTTTGAATGCATGCATCTAGCACAACCTGATATGCTAGAATTATGCCTTACTATCTTGTTTGTGCCACAGATAGGTTGAATTAGGTAATCTATTAGCTAAATAATGAAAATAAACCTTTCTTTTTGCAATCTGGTGGCTGGGGCCACTTTCCTCCTACACATTTAATAAATGCTGGTCCATTAATTCCAAAACCTTCAGAACAACTGTATGTCACCTCTTCTCCATGTTGGTAACTGTCTAGTCCATGAGACACAATACCATGATGGATTGAAGGTGGAGGTCCACAAGGAAGCCCTAAAAATAACACAATGAGAAGAACATAGTAAAATGATTCCACATTGCACTAATTCAGAAGCTCACTTGTATGTGTCAGGTTTATGGGTAGTAGTTCTAGAGGGAAATGTGAACAAGTAAGATGTGCCAGCACAGAAGAGGTGGACAGTGTGTCCTATGAACACCTTCTGTTGTCTGGAATCTACTAAAATGCTTCAACACTGAGCAAGAACTTGACAAAATAATGTCTAGCAAATTATCACTGACAAAAGGAATTTTCAAAAGAGAAGTAAGAATGTCAGAAAACATAGCATTTACTGTGGGTGGGAGAGAGACTGAGGATTTTAACATCTAGTGACAAACAAAACACTACAACTCACATGAGCAGGGGAAGTCAGTATACTATGCATCATATTTAAAAAGTGAAATGCAAGAGAACAGTATATTTCAAAACAATAAATACAATGAATAAAGGGAGGATAGATCAAATTATGGAAATAGAAATTCATGGTAAAATATATAAAAAAATTACATGTGTCAATCTCAATCATTCTTCTGCTTTTGATGAGAGTAGATAATTGTTAAAGACTTGTTCTAAAACGAGAATTGAATTTCAATGCTGTTCTCACCGACACAATGAGGTGGAGCACTCCACTTTCCCATGTGACAGGTTACCCCGTGCTCCTCAGCCATCCTAAAACCATCATCACAAGCATAGCTGAGTGTAGTGCCATGTTCATAACTTCTGGACTCAGCTGTGTCTCTCCTTTCTTCTGATGACTTGGGCAATTTAATAGATCCATGGTCTATTTTGGGGGGTTGAGAACATGGAATTTTTGCTATATGATGAAGAGAAATAAAACAGTTAAGCATAGATTAAAAAGCATAGATTAAAAAGTTTCATTGGAAAATAAAGACAAACTGCTTGGATTATGTCTTCACAGTTTGTGTGTTAAGCCCTAGTTTTTTAATATCCCCCCCTTCACTTGGGTTCTCTTCAGTTTTTTGTGTTGTTGTTTTTTTTTTTTTTTTTTTTCCCTGAGACAGGGTTTCCTTCCTGGTACTTGTTCTGAAGCTCTGTAGTCCAAGCCGGTCCTGACCTCACAGAAATTCTCTTGCATCTGCCTGCCAAATGCTGGGATTAAATATTTGTGCTTCCACTGCCCAGTGAGTTCTCTTCAGTATTTAAAGAAAGAATGTTATAAAATAAGTCATAGCTACTGACCAACGCAGCGTGGTAATGACTGCCATCTTCCATCTTTGCACACCATCTCTTCTGTGTTCTGTAATATGTAATTATCTTGACAAAGAACAGATACTTTTTCTCCATCCAAGTATTTTACTGTGGTTTCCATTATTTGAGCATTTGGAATCTGTGGTGGAGGAGGGCAGGATTCTTTCTCTGCTCCCAAAATACATCAGAAACCAGAGTTGTTGATTAAATATAGTGCCTTAAATCACTGAATCAATAATTTTCATTTAATAATAAGTTAATTATGACCAAATAATAATTATGTATATTTTATACTTTTCATCTTGTTTAGCTATTTTCTAATTATTCTTGTCTTCATTTAATTGTTCTTATTTTTTCTTTTAAAAAGCAAATGGACACCAACCCCGCAACTGACAAAGGTCTGATCTCCAAAATATATAAAAAACTCAAGAAACTAGACCGTAAAAGACTAATCAACCCAATTATAAAACGGGGCACTGAGCTGAACAGAGAATTCTCAACAGAAGAAGTTCAAATGGCCAAAAGACACTTAGGGTCATGTTCAACTTCCTTAGCGATCAGGGAAATGCAAATCAAGCCAACTTTAAGATATCATCTTACACCTGTCAGAATGACTAAAATCAAAAACACCAATGATAGCCTTTGCTGGAGAGGTTGTGGAGAAAGGGGTACACTCATCCATTGCTGGTGGGAATGCACACTTGTGCAACCACTTTGGAATGCAGTGTGGCGGTTTCTCAGGAAATTCGGGATCAACTTACCCCTGGACCCAGCAATACCACTCTTGGGAATATACCGAAGAGAGGCCTTATCATACAACAAAAGTATATGCTCTACTATGTTCATAGCAGCATTGTTTGTAATAGCCAGAACCTGGAAACAACCTAGATGTCCTTCAATGGAAGAATGGATGAAGAAAGTATGGAATATATACATATTAGAGTACTACTCAGCAGTAAAAAACAAGGACTTCTTGAATTTTGCATGCAAATGGATGGAAATAGAAAACACTATCCTGAGTGAGGTAAGCCAGACCCAAAAAGAGGAGCATAGGTTGTACTCACTCATATTTGGTTTCTAGCCATAAACCAAGGACATTGAGCCTATTATTAGTGATCCTAGAGAAGCTAAATAAGGAGAACCCAAAGAAAAAACATATAGGCATCCTCCTGAATATTAACCTTCATCAGGCGATGAAAGGAGATAGAGACAGAGACCCACACTGGAGCACCGGACAGAAATCTCAAGGTCCAAATCAGGAGTAGGAGAGAGAGCACAAGCAAGGAACTCAGGACAGCGAGGGGTGCACCCACACACTGAGACAATGGGATGTTCTATTGGGAATTCACCAAGGCCAGCTGGCTTGGGCCTGAAAAAGCCTGGGATAAAACTGGACTTGCTGAACATAGCGGACAATGAGGACTACTGAGAACTCAAGAACAATGGCAATGGGTTTCTGATCCTACTGCACGTACTGGCTTTGTGGGAGCCTAGGCAGTTTGGATGCTCAACTTACTAGACCTGGATGGAGGTGGGGGTTCCTTGGACTTCCCACAGGACAGGGAACCCTGATTGCTCTTTAGGCTGAAGAGAGAGGGGGACTTGATTGGGGGAGGGGGAGGGAAATGGGAGGCGGTGGCGGGGAAGAGACAGAAATCTTTAATAAATAAATAAATTTATTTCAAAAAAGCAAATGGACTGGAGAGGGAGGGGGAAAGGGAATGGGGGAGAGGAGAGGAATGGGGGAGAGGAGTGGGGGGAGGGGGAGGGAAATGGGAGGCGGGGAGGAGGCAGAACTTTTTTCAATAAAAATAAATAAATAAAGCTAATTTGTAGTATTTCTTAAAATTTATTTAAGTTTATTCTAACCTTTATGATGTTTTAAATGAATTATAAGATGAAATATTGTAAATTAAGGTTACATGGAAATTTTTCTAGAGCTCTGTGAGAATATCTTTGATGTAATAGTTTGGTTTAGATTAAAAGTCCTGAGAGAGCATACTGATGAAAGTGATACCTCCATTTAGCTAGTATACTAGTGACTTTTCTCATGGCTGTGACTAAATACGTGACTAAAGCAACTTTATAAAGGAAGGAAGGAAGGGTTTGGCTTAGCTCATCAAACAGGGATGTAATCTAGCCCAAGTGTAAAGCAGCTAGTTGTACTCTGTCTATAGTACGGATATACAGAATCTAATGCAGATGTTTGGATTCTTTTTCCTTTTCACTTATTTCAAGAACCCTGACTATAAAATAATGCCACCTGCATTTATAGTGAATCTACCCACCTCAATGTATTATCTGAATATATATATATATATAAGTTTTTATTGTATGTATATATATGCATGTATTTGTATGTATATTACATATACATAAATATGTATATTGTAAAAAAGAAATCATGAAATGGACAGGAAGTACAGGGTACACAGAGGTGTTTAAGTAAAAGTGAAAGAGGTGGAAAAGGTAAAAATGCAGGACATGCATAAAAAATTCTGAAGAACAATTACTGTGATTTAAGAACTCAAAGCTACTAGTATCACAGGTGAGAAAGGACTAGAAAAACCACTAGAAGACAGTGCAAACAAGAGCTTACCTGTACAGGTTGGTTCATAAATCCAAACTCCATTCAAGCAGATTGAAAATTTATAATTTTGTATTCCTCTACATTTGTAAATCAAGATAAAATTTTGATTAAATCCAATCTTTTTTGCATGAATTGCTTTCATATCAGCTAATGTTGGTGTCTTACAATATCCCAGTTGATCTGTTGCTATGTGAAAATAAATCCAGGAAAAAATAAAAACAATTATAAAAAAATGATATAGCTAATAAAATAGCTATATAGTCAATGTACAAATGGAACTATTATTTATATCTATAAATTCTCCCAACTAAAATGCTAGGGTCACCATACAGAGTGTCCTATGGTGATTGAACTAGTTCTCATGTCAAATCTTTTACATATCAGAGGCAGGGATATGGGCACCAGGCAACTGTAATAACAATGCAAATCTTTGTCTCAGATGTTCTATGTAGGAAACAATTATGACTTGACTAGCTTTGGTCCCTACTTGAGAGCTGTGAAATGTTCACATTTGTGGCTCTCCTCTTATCTTAATTTCAGGCCATATTGTTAAAAATATTACATAAAAACATGAGTGTAAGAGGTTTGTAAGTTTGAATTCCCTTTCTTGATAAGATGTGTTATTAAAAAAGAATATGTAATATAAATGGTGTTAAACAATTGTTTGAGAGCCAGATTTGTATAACATATTAGATACTTGTAGTCATCATCTCTCTCCTTTATATTCCATTTGTAAGAGTTTATAAGATGTTATTTCCTATGCTAGATCATTCTATAATATAACAGCACTATGTATTAATAATCAAAATGTTTGATTGTGTTATGACTTAAGTAAGGGATATATATATATATATCTTTTAATATATTTGTGCTATAATTACTAAATGATGATGGGAATTGGACAAAAATTCAGTATAGGTCCTGGATAACATTTGCTAATAATTTGAAATAAAGAGTGAAATAGATAGATAGAATAAATAAATGTAAATTATTAGCCAAAGTTCTATAACTTTCTTCTAAAACAATACTTAAATATTGACCAGAATACTTCAAGAAATCGAAACACCCAAGAAAACAAGCCCCTTTTTAAGAATGGTTCGTAGGAATACAAAAAAAAATCTGTAAAGGTAAATTAGGAAAGACCAATAGTCGTGGGGGCATGGTGACTCTGTGATTGATTTGTTTCCTAAGAATCTCTTTTTTAATTTTTTTTTATTTATTTATTAAGGATTTCTGCCTCCTCCCCGCAACCGCTTCCCATTTCCCTCCCCCTCCCCCGATTAGGTCCCCCTCCCTCATCTGCTCAAAGAGCAATCAGGGTTCCCTGACCTGTGGGAAGCCCAAGGACCGCCCACCTCTATCCAGGTCTCTTAAGGTGAGCATCCAAACTGCCTAGGCTCCCCCTTTGTGAAGAGAATGCTATAGACATGGAGAAGACTAAGGATGTATAGTTGAAGAGTAATAAAATTTGTCCTGTAAGGCTAATGTTGCAGCACAGTTTGTGATAACTCAGGGGGTCATATGAAGTTCATTATTGGCAAATTAACCACCAGAACAAAACCTCAGAAATATGAACAATTAATAAAATAAAACTCCTAACAGAATGGAGAATTATTGTTTTCATTCCTGATTTGTCTGATGTTTCTGCCATATAAATTTATTGATCATACAGTTTTAAAACAGTCATGTGAATAGGAATTAAAGTATTGAAGTTAGAGATTTTTTTTTAAAAAAAGGTGCTTCTTATCAAAAATATAATGATTAATTGTATAACCACTTATTTACATGACAAAATGTTTTTTAGTTGGTTGGTATTCTGTGTATAGAGAAGATATCACTATACAGCATAGGCAAAAGTGCCCTTTCCAAAGGAGCTCCATTTTTCACTGGCATTAGCCAACACTTAAAATTCTAATGAAGAGTAAATATTGGGTATCAAGGATATTCTGAAGTAATGATCCAGGAACAGTCTAAGTAAAAGCTCAGTTTCAGAGAAAAGTGAATGTAGGCACCAAGATGTTTAAGCTTCTCATTAAAGATTCAGTCAGTAAAAGAACATGTGGCAAAAGTGGGAGGTTATTGCAGAATGAAAACACCCATGGGATAATGTCGCCCATTTAAGCCCAAATTTTTTGGTATAGATCAGTTCTAGAGTCAATGAGAGGACCTATGTTTCCACCTTAATCACACTGACTTCAACTTGTAGACTATTAAATAAAAGTTCTGGGAAAGAAAAGGTTGTTGTGAGAGAGTAGGAAATGGGTGATTTACATACTTGATTCCTTGACTTTCCATGATATGGAAGGAGAGTGCCATATAATAACAACAATGCTATTTGTACATTGTTGTATCTTGTGTTTTAGTATTCACATTTTACTAAGAGGAAAATTTATTACTAACAACTAGATTTAACTTAAGTGAAGCAAACACAGATTATATTAGTAATTTTATTCAGCATTATATTATAAACAATAAAATTTGGATACATATTTGCATAATATTTAGGACTAGATTGTTCTAAGAAGATTTCAAACTACATATATATATATATATATATATATATATATATATATATATATATGCATGAAACTGAACCATGTCCAATTATTGTAAATATTTCCTTGCAGGTGAACTCTACTGAATCTCCATGGTAGTAGGGAGGGACAAAAAACTTCACAGAGCTATGATCAAGTTTAGGAATGTCTGTACATGTTCTCACCTCCTCTGTAAACAGATGTTTTACAAATGTGCATTTATTATTAAAGCATATCATGAGATATAAAACAGTCTAAGTAGTAGCATTTTTATTACCAATACACTTTGGCAAGGTTGTCCACTTCCCGTCAATGCACTGGATTTTGTTGGGTCCCTTCAGTAGAAATCTAGGCTTGCAATCATATTCCACCACTTCACCATGGCTGTATTTTTCTTTCTTTGTTCCCCTAAGTTTCCCATTGAAGAGGTCAGGAGGGTGATCACATGATCTCACTTTACCTATTGTAGAATATTATGTGCATATAAATGAAAGTGTCCCTCTTGAAGTTTAAAAACCTAGTTAATGAAGAATCTAAGAATTTATTCACCATATCACTTTTTATAACACTTTATTAATTCAATATTATAAACATGAGACTCATATTTCACAATCATAACATGTCTATTGAAATAATATTGAAAGCATATTGAAAGTGGTACAATGCTTAGTAAACATAATACCTTGAATCAAAGACCCTAATAAAGGAGAGGTTGCCTGAACTGTCCTAAGCCTATAGTCATACTGAGGAATATTTTAAATATCACCATAGAACTTCACTCAGCAACTGATGGAAATAAAGGCAGAAACCCACAATAGAGCACTGGACTGCATTACCAAAGTCAAGTTGAAGAGTGGGAAAAGTGAGATAAGCAATGAGGTCAAGACCGTGATGAGAATACCCACTGAAACAGTTTACCTGAGCTAAGAGGAGCTCACCAATTCCAGCCAGACTGGGAAGGAACCAGCATAGGTCCAAATTAGTCCCTCTGAATGTGTGTAACAGTTGTATGACTGGGACAGACTGCAGGGCCACTGGCAATGGCACCAGGATTTATCCCCACTGTTTGTACTGGCTTTTTTGGAACCTATTCTCTTTGGATGGGTGCCTTGCTCAGCCTAGATACAATGCAGAGGGTCTTGGTCCTTCCCCAAAGCAATGTGCCTTACCCTTTCTGAAGAGTTGATGTGGAGTAGGGGAATAGGTGGAGGGAAGGGGAGGAGGGGAGGGAGTGGGAACTGGAATTGGTATGTAAAATGAAAAATGATAGTTGTTTTTCTTTTTTAAAAATAAAAATAAAAAAGAAATTAAAAAAGAAAACCATTCAGCCACTCTTGTTTTGTAAATATAGTGATTTTCACACTCTTAATATTTTTAGCATACAGTTATCCATTTGTAAAAAATATTAGTACTGTACAAAACATCTGATTACTATGTTTTAATTTTTGAATAAATGCTATTGAATTAATCAAGATCTGCTTTCATTCAGTTTAGACATTCTCTATGCAGTGTGAAGAAATGTTTATGCTGTAAAAATATCAGGATTAATGGTACTATAGACAGAATGATAGTTATCTTTGGACTCAAAGCCATCATGTCTATATATTTGCACACACTGATAACACATTTTCAGTTGGTGTGGTGGTGTGGGAAAAAAATCTGTATTCTGTCAATTATATTTTAAATAAACTGATTGGTCATTAGTTATGCAGGAAGTATAGGTGAGACAACCAGACAGGAAGTAGAAGCGGGTCAATGAGAACAGGAGAATTCTGAAAAGGAGGAAACCCATTCCTCTGTTGTCCTGATCCAGCCACAGAAAAAACAAGATGTGGTTGCCTCACTGAAAAAGGTACTGAGCAATGTGGCTAATATAGACAAGAATAATGGGTTAATATATGTTAAAAGAGTTAATAAGAAGCCTGAGCCAATCAGTTTATGTGTGATTTCTTTGGGACTTAAGAATTGTGGGAACCAGCAGGACAGAAAACCTCAGTCAACAAATAGTGCCCACATGGATAAGTGCATCCACATAAAGCCTGACAGAGCTTGGGAAGTTATTCTAGACAGAAAATAATAGGGTTAAGCATGGCTTATTGATAGCAGCATTTTCTCAAGTGGGCTCTGCTTGCTAGAGGCAAGCGCTCTCATGTAAGAGAGGCTTCCTGACTCAGTTTTAGCTGTAAAACCTTACAGCACTTTTAAGAGGTCCCGCCAAGAAACACTTAAATAGTGTTGATGAAAAGCTGACTGCAAGCTTTTTGGTTTTCAGCTGTAGCAGAATAAAAGCCATGTCATTTTAAAATGCCGGCTTTCTGGGCCATCCTGCCAACACAAAATCTAACTTTTTTCAGTCAGGAGCATTTGAATGTGGTTTCTAAGTACACTGCTGCAGTTTGCTTGCTGTTAGGGACCTTGAAACACCATAGAGCTGTGGCAATAAACATGGCTATAGGCAATATCTCCACCATGAGGCTGGAATCTCAGAAAGTTAAGAAATGGGCTGAATTCAGCCGTCAAAGCCACGGCTTTAATACTACCCATATTGCTTAGCAAATTAGAAACTCATGTGGTCAAAAAAAAAAAAAAACGAGATAGATATACAGTAAAGAGAGATTCAAAGATGAAGAAAACCTCTAAATGGTTTACAGTATGTTAAAATATATGTAGGCTTGGGAGAAAAAAATTAAAACAAAAAAGAAAGAGAGTATTTGGGTGTACAAAAAAGAAAGAGAGTAGTTGGGTTTGGTGGTACACACCTTTAATCTCAACACTTGGGAGACAGAGACAGGAGGACCTCTGTGACTTCAAGGCATGGTAGCATATGTCTTTAATCCCAAATCTTGGGAGGCAAAGTCAGACAGATCTCTGTGAATTCAAATTGTGGTGGCATACACCTCAATCCCAGCACTTGGGAGGCAGAGGCAGGCAGAACTTTGTAAGTTCAAGGACAGCCTGCTCTACAGAGGGAGTTCCAGGATGGCCAAAGATACACAGAGAACCTGTCTCAAAAAGCCAAAAATTAAAAGTAAAAATAAAAGAAATAGAGGTTAAAATAAAGCCACATAAAGATGAAAAATACACAGAGATTATAGATACTGTATGTTATTATGCTCTTTGAATTGTTTGAATGCTGAAGAAGGAGCAACAGCTGCCAAAAGATATTTGTTTATGAATGCTGCTAAATTAATCCAAGATAGGTATTTTTTAAAATATCTTGACTTCAAAATTGAAATCAAAAGACATGTTACTTTGGAGAAGAGGCTTTGCTTTTGTTTCCACAGAAAATGAGAGGCTATGGATTTATTCTGAGTTAAGGAAAATCAGGTTTGATCAAGGAAGACCACCTGAAAAATCTTGGGTAGGAACAGATGGCCCAGATTTCTAAGTTCTACATCCAGAACAGATTCAAGACTGCTGCCTGAGATGATCAAGTCTCACAGAATACTCTAGTCAGGACTTGATCATAATTCTAAATTTTCTTTAGTTCCCCCTAGGATTGTCAGTGTCCCCAACCAGCATGAAATAGCCTGGAAAACTATGCCCACATTCCCAAAAAATGGACTACGGATATTTCCCTTGCTTTTGTAAAAGAAAGGAGGGGAAGTGGTGTGGGTGAATGGTGAATACTCTGTCAATTATATTTTAAATAAATGTGATTGACCAGTAGCCAGGTAGGAAGTATAGGTGGGACAACCAGACAGGAAGTAGAGACGGGTCAATCAGAACAGGAAATTCTGGGATGGATGAAGCCCATTCCTCTGCAGTCCTGATCCATCCACAAAAGAAGCAAGATGTGACTGCCTCACTGCAAAAGGTACTGAGCCATATGGCCAACATAGATAAGAATAATAGGCTAATATACATTATAAGAGTTAATAAAAAGCCTGAGCTAATGGGCCAAACAGTTTATAGTTAATGTAGACCTCTGATTTCTTTGTGACTTAAGGACTGCAGGAATTGGGCAGGACAGAAAACCTCAGTCAACAGCGTGGTATTAACCTTGTAAGTAAGCGACTGTGCACTAGCCACACAACACGCAGATTGATCATGTTTGTCTGTAAGACTGAGAAATATTAGAAGGAAACTAAACCTCTGATTTTCATTCAGCAAATGTAAAACAGATTGTTACCTTTACATGTCGGGAAACTAGGTGACCATCCAAAAGAGTAGCATTGAACTGAATCTGGTCCAACTCTATGTCCTTGTCGGCAAGAAAATTTCAACAAATCTCCAACTTTATATTTGTCTTTAATGGGACTGATGAGCAAGTACTGGTCTAGAAATGGAATGCTGCATTCTTTTTCTTGAAAAGTAAAATAATTAGAGTACATATTTGATCAAGATGTAGTTTTATCTCTCTCATGTACATTCACAAGGAAACATTAACAACACTCTTCCTTATTAAAAAGGCTGCATTTTACATTTTATATAGACCCTTTATTTATATGGAAGTCTGATGAATGTATGCATTTATAGAATTGAATGCTGAAATTAACATATTTTACTGAATCTGAATTGCAGTAGAAAGTTATTAATGTTAAACTCAAAACTATCCTATTCTTATACAAAATCATTCTTTCATATTTGAAATTAATGCTACACAGTAAGCTTAATATAGTTTCAAAAATTATTTCAGTTTAATATATTGAGAAAGAAAAACAGGCAAAATAATTTCTAAAGTATTTGAGGTTAAGAAAATAAAATTAGGTATTTTCAAATAAAAAGAACATAAGAGACATGTGCAAAACCATAACATTATTTGAATGTTTGAATATTTACAGCACACTAAAGTAATTTATTGTGTTTTCAATTCTTATTGTTAACTGTTTAAGATTTTGACTCCAATTAAGTGTGTGTAACTTCTCCATTACAATTAATTGTTTTTAATTGTTGACATTAATAACTGTTTCAAAATATAAACATTTTTTGAAGTCTCATTTTTACTAATTTACATAATTAAAGTTTTCAGTTTTAAAAGTAGAGTTATACATAAAAGAAAATTCCTACATTCAAGAGTCAAGTGTTAGTACACACTGTTGGGAATATTTTTTAATACAAGCTCCCCGATGATGCAAAAATTTCCAATCAAACCAAATCAAAACAAGCCAAATTAAGAAATATACAGGTTTAATGGGAGATCTGCACTCTCAGGTGGCCCCTAGAGGGACACTGGGAAGCACAGAAGTGACCCCCGGGAGGAAGGAAGGGAGACCAGGTCTTTTTCTTTTGGGGGGATCACTTAAATACCCAGGGAATGGTCCTGACCCCACCCCTAGGGAGGGGTCAGGATCTGGCCTGCTGGGATTTGAAGTCCAGACCAGGCCTGGGGGCTGGGATAGATGCAAGGGACTGGGATCTATGCTTCCAACCTAACACATACCTAGTAACAGAAATGAATGGCAAGTTTTGAAAGCAATATCTAAAGCAAATAACCAAGACTTCATGTTGGATCTTTTTATAGAACACATTAGAATAGCACAACTAGAGTGTCTGAAAATGCATATAACCAAAACCTCATGTTGGATCTTGATACAGAACACACAAGAATAGCATAATTTGAGTGTCTTAAAATGTTTCTCAAATAATTTATTTGCTTTAATACTGAGTTTTTCAGGTTAACTGGGGAAATCAGTGTTATCAAGACCCACAGTTATTAAAAGGATTTGGTTCGAGAGCAGGCCTCAGATAGTGAACTCCATGAGAGCAGGAGTGGATCCAGACCAGGGTCATTTGTGGAATCAGTTAACTACCTAAGCCAAAGCAGGCCTGAAAAAACAAGCTCCGTGGGAGCCAGAGTGGATCCACACTAGGGAAATTTGAGGACACAGAATTGAGCTAGCAACCTGAGCCAGAGCATACCTGAGACAGTGAACTCTACAGAAGCAGGTACAGAGGAGCAAATGTTGAGCAAGTGGGCCAGAGACAGAAACTGTTATAGGTCTGGATATGAATCTGGGACCTTCAAGGGAGTAGACCTAAGCCAGGACCCCTGTGGGTCCCGGCATGAGTCAAGGACCTCCAAGGAACGAGGCCTGAGCCAGGACATTTATGGGTCTGGGCATACATCTGGGGCATCTGAAGAAGTAGGCAGCAATCAGAGATCTCTGCAGGTTCAGGCATGAATCTGGGACCTCTGAGGGAGTAAGCCTGAGCCAGGTTGTTTGTAGGCCTGGTAACTCCGAAGGAGTAGATCAGAGACAGAAACCATTGAGGAAGCAACTGCAAACCAGGAACTTCTACAGGAACAGAACCAGACCTGGGACATTTACAGAGACAGGTCTGAGCCAACAACCTATATCTAGAGAAAGTCTGAGACAGCAAACTCCAAGGGAGCAGAGCAAAGTCCAGGAGTGCTGAGAAATCTCCAGAAATACTGAGTGACCATTGGGGTAACTAGAACCATAGAACTGACTGTATCACAAGGAACAAACATCTGGGCCTTGAATTCACTGGCATCTAGAAGATTAATCAACAAAATCACAGACAGCCCCAACTACACCTATTAGAGGAAAGGAAGAGTAGGAAAGGTAAGAACACATGCAATACCACAAAGAGCAACACAACATCAGTAAAACTTAAAGACCCTACAACAGCAATACTTGAACAAACAAATAGAGAAGAAGCGGAAAAAAAAATGACCTAAAAAATAATTTCAGGAAAATGTATGAAACCCTTAAAGAGGAAATGAGAAATTCCCTCAACAAAATGAAGGAAAAGACACACAAAAAATTGGAAGTTATCAGCAAATACCTTAAAGAAAACCAAAAAATCAATCAAACATATGAATGAAACTATTCAATACTTTAAAACTTAAACAGAGACAATAAGGAAAACACAAGCCATGGGAATTGTCGAAACAGAAATCATAAGAAAACGATCAGGTACAACAAATGAAAGCATACAAAAGAATATAAGAGATGGAAGAGAGAATCTCAAGTGCTGAAGATACAATAGAGGAAAAGGACTCACCAGTCAAAAAAAAAATTAAATCTAACAGAAGCTTAACACAACATATATAAGAAATATTGGAAACCATAAAAAGACCAAACCTATGAATAATAGGTATAGAAAAAGGATAAAAGATCAACTCAGAAGCACAGAAAATATATTTAAGAAAATCATAGAAGAAAACTTTACCAACCTAGAAAAAGATATGCCTATGAAGATACAAGAAGCTTATAGAACACCAAACATACTGGATTAAAAAAATAAAGTTCCTTCACCACATAATAATCAAAAAATCAAAACACTAAACATGCAGTATAAAAAAAGAATATTAAGAGCTGCAAAGGAAAAGGCTAAGTAACATATAAAGGTAGGCCTATCAGAATTATACCTGACTTTTTGTTGGAGACAATGAAAGCCAGAAGGTCATGGTCAAGCATTATGCAGACATTAAGAGAACACAGATGCCAGCCCATCAAAACTTTCAATCATCATAAAATGACAAAATAAGATATTCAATGACAAAACCAGATTTAGTCAATATTTAGCCACAAACCCAATCCTATACAAAATACGAGAAAGAAAATTCCAAACCAAGGAAGTTGGCTACATCAACAAAAACACAAACAATTTATAGCCTCATGGCAGCAAATCCAAAAGAAGGGAAAAATGCAAAATTAACATCACTAATAATAAAAACTAAATTAACAGGGAATAGATATCCCTAGTAATTAATATCCCTTAATGTAAATGGACTCAACTAACCTAAAAAAGGCACAGGCTAACATATTGGATATGAAAACAGAATCCATCCTTCTTCTGCATACAAAAAACACACCCCAGCCTCAAAGTCAGACATCATCTTAGAGTAAAGGGTTGGGGAAAATATTCCAATCAAATGAACCTAAGAAACAAGCACGTGTGGCTATCCTAATATCTAACAAAATAGACTTCAAACTAAAATCTATCAAAAGAAACAAAAAGGACATTTCATAATAGTCACATGAAAAATCCATCAAGAGGAATTCTTAATACTGAAAATCTATGCCCCAAATACATAAGAACCCTCATTTGTAAATGAAATTCTTCTATAGCTTAAACCATATATTAAACCCCACACACTAATAGTGGGAAATTTCAACACTCCAATATCACCACTGGACAGGTCTACCTGAAAATTAACAGAGAAACAAGGGAACTAACAGATAATATGACTCAAATGGACTTAGCAGATATTTATAGAATATCCCATCCAAACATAAAAGAATATACCTTCTTCTTAGCACCTCATGGAACTTTCTCAAAAATTGACCACATACTTGGTAACAAAACAAACCTCAACAAATACAAAAAAAAAGGAATAACCCCATGTATCTTATCAGATCACCATGGCTGAAAACTAAAAGTCAACAGCAATAGTAATACTAGAATGCCCCACAAGCAAAAACATGGAAATTAAATAATGTTCATCTTAATCATTAATGGGTCAAGAAACAAATGAAGAGAGAATTTGAAGACTTCCTAAAATTCAATGAAAATGACCACACTACATACCCAAATTTATGAGACACAATGAAAACAGTCTTAAGAAGAAAGGTCATAGCACTAAATGCCTACATAAAGAAGCTGGAAAAATCCCATACTAGTGAATTAACAGAACATTTGAAAATGTTAGGACAAAAAGAAGCAAACTTACCCAAGAGAACTAGACAGCAAGAAATAATCAAACCGAGAGCTGAAATTAACAAAATAAAAACAAAGAAAACAATACAAAGAACCAATGAGACAAAGAGTTGGTTCTTTCAGAAAATCAACAAAATAGACAAATCTTTATTCAAACAAACCAAAAGGCAGAGAAAGAATATTTAAAATAACAAAATCAGAAATAAAAAAAGGGTTTATATCAACAGACATAAAGGAAATACAGAGAATCATCAGGTCATGTTTCAAAAAACCTATACTCCACAAAATTAGAAACATTAAAGTAAATTGACAACTTTCTAGATAAATATAATTTACCAAAATAAAATCAAGACCTGACAAGCAAATTAAACAGACCCATATCTGCTGAAGAAATAGAAACAGTCATCAAAAATCTCCCAACCAAAAAAATCCCAGGACCAGATGGTTTCAGCTCACAATTCTACAAGATTTTAAAGGAGAACTAATACCAATACCCCTCAAATTATTCTACACAATAGAAATAGAAGGACCATTGCCAACTCTTTTCATGAGGCTACAATTACCCTGATACCCAAACCACAGAAAGGCATTATTAAGAAAGAGAATTAAAGACCAATCTCACTTATGAACATTGTTGCAAAAATACCAAATAAAATACTGGCAAATCGAATCCAA